TTTGTCAGTTACTTTTCACATGATCCTAGCTTTGGATAACCACATAAATCATACAGTTAGAGATCGGATAGATGTGGGTTGGCATGTTGACTCTCTTAGACGACCTCCTCGTGGTGGCATAGTTTACGCTCTTTTGTTGCAGGGTTTTCAACTAACTTTGGTTCTGGATAGATTGGGATGGCTCCTAGATGTGTCAGATACTTACTCTGTCTCTTCTGTTAGAGCTTATATAGATTGTGGTATGTTGTTTTCCGATGGTAGTGAAACGCGTTGGAATAATTGGGTTCCCATAAAAATCAACATTCTTGTTTGGACGATTCAGTTACAGAGTATTCCCACCAGAGAGAGACTTTCTCATGGAGGTATTACGGTGGATTCGATTATGTGCCCTGTTTGTTCTCTCACGATTGAATCAGTTGATCATATTTTTGCTTCTTGTCGAGAGCTTGTAGATATTTGGTCTCGTATTGCCATTTGGTGAAATATCCAGACTCCAAATCATTTCTCGGTGCAGTCTATTATGTCTTGGTCAGATTTGGCATCTTTGAGGGGCGGCCAACGAAAAGCGTTTGAAGCAATAATTTTTACAGCTTTATGGAGTTTGTGGAGTTTTCGTAATTCTATGGTTTTTGGAACGACTCTCCCTAGGAAGTCTAACATTTTTCATGATATTGTTAATAAGGTTTTTTTTTCGGATTTCCAATAGGTGCATCAAAGCAAAAATAAGTTGGACTTCTTGGTTACATAGTCCTTCTTCTGCTACTATTTTATTGTAATGGTTTTTTTTCTAGCTCCTTGCTAGTTTCTAATAAAACTTCCGCCTTTCAAAAAAATGTTATTTATTCAATATGATCGAAAATATAGAAATAGTTATTTCCTACCAAAACAAATTAAAATAATCATTTTAAATATAAAAACAAAACTAAAATTTAAAATTTATCATCTAAACTTACACATTTTAGAATTATATATGAAAATTGTTTAAAAAAAAATTAAATAAACTTTGATGTATTTAATACAAAGGTCACCCATCCAATCCAAAGCCGTCGCCCTACCTCTTATTGTTTCTTCTTTTGGTTTTTCTTATTTAGTCATAAAAAAACCAACAATAAACAAAAAAGACAGAGAATCACAAGATCCAAATGAATAAGCCCAATAAATTTTATACCTATACATTAGTGGCCTGATCTCTAAGATCCAAATGAATAAGTTTTCCTAAGAAAATATCAAATCAGCAATAACTGAAAACAACTGTTGCATTTGATAAGTCAAAATAAAAAAATCCATGTGTAACATTAATGATGTTTGTGATTGAGTTTTAACATATTTAATTCAATATTTTGCTGTAAGTCCGAATGTTTGTTTTTTTATTAATTAATAAGTTTAAAACTATTTTTTTCTACAATATGCAAAATAATTTTTTAATCTTATTTTTGGAAAAGAAACTTTCTTAACCAAGGTTTACAAGCCTGTTTTCGCACACTGATTAATTCCTGCTACAAAAAAGAAGGTTACTTATCATATCATGGAGTGGTTGTAGGCAAACCTCAATAACCACTAGGGATGCAAACGGGGTCAGATATTGGCGGGGACTGCAATCTCCATCCCCGTACCTGACCTCCAATCCCTATACCATACCCGCCCCCGCCCCGCCAAATCCCCGACGGGTTCGGGTGAAAAAAAACTCAACGGGTACGGGGAATCCGATGGATACCCGTTTAGTATAAAGGTGCAGTGTTTTTAAATCTAAAAACATAAACAACAATCATGACAACTAAAACATTCCAATTTTCATAGTTTCCCTATAACAGATGAAAAAGTACAAAACAATTTTTTTTAAATCTACAAAACATAAACAACAATCATGAAAACTAAAACATTCCAATTTTCATACTTTAGTATAATAGATGATAAAGTACAAAACATCTCGATATTTTCAACATCATAAAATCATCAAAAACTAAGTTCTTATTCAAAACATCATTAGAAACTAAATATCAAAATCTAGAGCACTTGGATGCACAATTCTTGTAATGGTAATGTAAGTGTGCCGTTCCATTCTTGATTTTTCATTCTAATATTTTCCTACAATAGTTGCATACAACCTTATCAACTCCATCAATATTTTGCCTTTTAAAATGACTCCAAACCGCATAAGCATATCTTCTTTTTGACTGCCCGGGTTGTTCATCTTCAGTGTCACTACATAGAGTTATTAAAATTAGAGAACTACAATTGCACATAATAAGAATTATAAAGGGAAAAAATCAGTTATACAGTCAAAATTTCATATGATATTCAGTTGTACAACATATAGCCAAAATTCATGTTATTCACATTAAGTCATTCATATATACTTGTTTATGCAGACATTTGTAAAGAACACAATAAATAATATGATTATCGATTACATAGAAGTTTAAACTTTGGAATTCAAATGATTATTGATTATACATACTTTAAGAAATTAGGCCAATCAGGTTATACCATTCAAGTTTCTTTCGATTCCAGGCTTCGACAATCAATCTTGAATATAGCCCCAATGTTCCCTAAGACAGACAATCAGGTCACAACTAAATTACATGAAAATTTTAACAAAAATTAGATAGATTACAAGCATAAAAACTCATACATGAGAAATCTGATTTCAACAAAAATACATAAAGAAAATTGAATAAATCCATTCAGGTTACACATGCATTCTTGAGAAATCGATTACAAAATTGGTCATAGAGAGAAATCAGTTAATACTAATTGGACATGAATTGAGAAATTGGTTATAGAGAGAAGACAATAAGTAGGTGCAGGTGCAAGACAATCGATCAAAAACATTTACCTGATGTTTGGATTTTGTAATTGAAAAGGAAGATCATCCATGGAAAGCCTGAAATTGTTCTTGAAGACCTAATATTTTCTTAGGAATGTTGATACTGTTGTGCCGATATCTAGGGTTGAAGGAGAAATGGGCAATGGTGGATTAAATATCGAGTTTGATTCTTGAAAAGTGAGTATACTAAAGCCTTGAATCATGATTCTATGAAACACGAAGAACGAAGAGTCGACTACGACTCTAAAGTCTCGAAGAGATAAAAATGGTGTTGTATCTATTGTAAATTTAAAGTTATTAATTAGTAATTAATGTAAACTGAAACTGATTTCGAATATATATATATATATATATATATATATATATATATATATATATATATATATATATATATATATATATCGAGTTTTAAACGGGGCGGATACTACTATACCCATCCCCGCCCGTCCCGGTTTCGGGTAAGATATCTAATCCCCATCCCCAACTCGTTACCCGCTAAGGCGGGGAGTCCTCGACCCGTTCGGGTCGGGTCCCCGCGGGTAGCGGGGATTCCCCGACCCGTTTGCATCCCTAATAACCACAAAGGCTGAGTACAGGGACGTAGCTACCTTGATACAAGGTCGGCCCTTGGACCTACCTATTTTTCTTAATATAATACAAAATATATATGAAAAGTAATAGGGATCACCTTATTAATTTTAAAAGACCCTCCTAAATACATTATAATCTTTGGAAAAAAAACTATCAACCCATATTTTATAGAATAGTTGAATGCATCAATTTATTTTAAATTTATTTATTAGGCAATATCTCAACCCTTTTGAAACTAAACAAAAAAAGGAAAAAAGTATCATGAAACGTCGCCTAAAGATTGTGATCGCTGATCGACATCTCCAAACAATGCACACCTCATCACGTTCTCACCAGCCTGATCGATCAATCGCACCGTCAGCCGTCCACACGACCCAACCCGCCACCGCTAATATTTTTTACTCTCACTTTTTTTTAGTTTATTTAAATAAACATGTGGTTTTTGGTTTTAGAATCATCACTGGCTGAATAGTGCTAAAATTTGAATATTGGTCAATGGATTACTCACCACATATTCCACATCTTTTCCCAAGTCACCACAATACTCTTGTTTTCAACAAAATGATTAATGGTTTTTTCACATAAAAGGACAATAATGAAGCCATTTTAACATAATCACTCTCCTTGTATATAAACATAAACATGTATTTTGCTGCATTTTACATATATAAATAGTTTTGTTAATAAAAACTATAAAACATGTTTATAGCTTATATCATTTTCACACCAAATAAACTAATGCAAATATTTTGTTCTTTTAAAACTATGTTTTGCTGTTGTATGAGTTAATAAACATTTTTATAAAAAAAAAGTTTTATTTTCAAAACCTAATCCCAAACATTCCTAAGTCAATGATAGAAATGAAGTAAACATTTCCTAAACATGATCACGAGATTTTCCATGGTTTTTTTTTTTTTTTTTTTTTTTTTTCTTATTTTTTTAAGGATATTCCCGTTTATAGTAGGTTTATACTTTACACTAAGGTGATTCAAACTCCGAACCTTCTCTATAGTCTAAACTATCAGGTAATGGTTTCGGTCATTATATTTAGTATTATAATAAAAAAAATATTTGAACACAATTCCGAAAAAAAAAACATATTATTTTCGCTTGATTTTTTTAAAAAAATTTAGATTACTTAATCCGTTAATTTGATGTCAATTAGATATGCGATTGGATATGGATTTCTCGTTATATCATTGAATGAAACGACATTAAAAACAACAGTACATCACCATTATATTCACTGTGTACATTTGTAAGCATCTTTTTGGACAATATTTTAAAATTATTCCATGTTATAATAATGCGAAACTACTATATATACCCATGAAACAAGCCCCAAAAATTGCAACCATGTTTGCTTAGTGGTGGACATTTTGTACATTCCCTCTTTACGTCATTACCTCCACGTGTCACAAAAAGTCCACGTGTCACCGTAGCATCTCAAGTGTCCAAATATTCCACGTGACGACTCCATTCCCTTTTAATTTAAAAGTTTGACTCGGAAACCACGTTGACACGAATTAGAATCAAACGCTTAAAAAAACAAAATTCTTAAAAAACTAAAGAAGTCAACGATTTATTCAACAGCTCTGATCAGATGCTCGTACTTGCCAACTGATATGGACGGCAGAGCCAACATGGATTTCACTGAACGGCTCTGATCGGGTATTGGCAGGAGGATGCAGTACTTATCTGCACATACTGGTGACACCTGAACAGGCCTCCCAAGCCCAAAGTCAAAACTTTCCAACCCTACCTTTGACCATTGCGACAAAATGAGTACACCCACCGAGTCAGGTACTTGACTCCCCCGAGTTAAACTCACTGATTCAACCACTTCTCTAACGAACCCATCATCCACCCTGTTCTTTGCTTCCCTTATTAACTCGGTGGCGTAACCTAATCCACTCTCTGTTAATTCCTTTGCTGTCGTTTGAGCACAACCGAGGACTATAGCATTGCCGTAGTACTCACTCGGTAGACTCGGTTTGACTCGGTTACGAATGTTGATGCTAAATAATAGTTTTAGGGTTTGTCTAGGTGGGAAACTTAATGCTCGAGCCCAGCTTCTCCAGATGTGAGCAGAAACGACTTCGAACGATGTGAGCGATGGTTTACTGAGTTGACTCGTGGAGGCCGCGAGTGTCTTTAGCTCGTTTATTCTCCAATCGTGAAATGTGGTGGAGGTGGGAGTGAGTTGATCTTGGTTGAACCGAGTCAAGAACTTGCAATGGTCATGGACTGGGATGAACTCGGGGTGGTGATTCGTTTTTAGTCTATACGGGGTTGGATCAAGAAGATGTCTTTCCCAAATGGGTTTGGGTTTAAACTCCTCCGCCGCGCCGTACCGGTGGCAGTTGGCTAATCTGGCGAAGTGGTTTAAAAACTCAACGCTGCCAATCCCGTCGCATATACAGTGGCTAAAACCGATAGCGAGAGCCGCTGAGTCGTCTGCAAGCCACGTTAACTGTACAACCAACGGCGGAGCTCCCTCGAGAACGTCCGTCACCTCCAACGCCAAAAGCTTTCGCCACTCCGTCACATACCGAGGAGCCTTCTCGAAATCGGAGAGCGAAAACTCACCAGTGGACTCAACGAACACTGCGCCTTGACCTCGACAAACCACTTCAAGACAAGAGCCATCTGATCGAGTCCTGACTCGCCCTGCCAAAGGATAGTATGGAACAAGGGCTCGAGCTAGGGCGTCTTTAACAAGGGCGGTGATGGCACTCCGGTTACCCGCCCTATGCTGGCGAGGAGGATGGTAGATGAGTAAGTATTCGATTGTAAACCGTAGAAAAAGCTGGGAATCGATAGCAGAGAGGTTAAGAACATGAGAGGGAGTTGGGTCCGAAGGGGTAATGAAGACTGCTTCTTGAAGTTGTACATGATGGCCGGAGTCTCCCGTGTTGGTCATGTTTTGTATATGAAAGAATGCTAAATCAATGCTTTATAGTCTTGACTTTATGCATACAGATATGTATTCAATTATATATATATATATATATATATATATATATATATATATATATATATATATATATATATATATATATATATATATATATATATATATATATAAAGGTGTGGGCCTGTGGGGGTGGGGATAGCTTTAAAAAATGTATCAACTGTTAAAGATTTGATAAAGATTCTCCGGGGTAGCTTTAAGGAAATAAGAAAACACAAAACCACAGCTAGTCAGCTACCTTACATCTTTCTGTAAAAAGGTAAAACAATATGCATTGCATTAACTTTTAATCCCACAATTATTAAATTGAAGAATACCGTTCAATGAAAACAAGGGTCGACGAATATTATATATATATGTATGGTTGCCTAATAAAAAATCTTCATTATAAAATGATTATAATCAATTTTAAATTCAACTTAGATTTCAAAAATATTAATGTTATGTAACTTATGCATCCGCTTTTCACTTTAGACAACATAATATCACACTTGCCTTCTTGGTTATTTCTTTGCCACATCTCTCTGTCTCCCTAGAGCCGTTCAATCTTCTCAATCGTTTCTTTGCAAAGCTAGCGGTCCAAGGGGCCATCCCCTTCTGTTCCTTTTCTTTTTCTTTTGTACATATATCTTTGTCGTTTGTATCATCGGTCAATCAACTTTTTTGATGTTTTAGAGTTTTGCATCTAACCATTTCCCTCTTCATTTGGTATCATTACTTGGTTATTCATGAGACGATCATAGAAGATATGCTTGAAACACTGATCAACATGACGTATAAGCGAACCCATTGATCAAAAGCCTTGATTGACCATAGTGACGATGAAATCATGCATGTTAATTAACCTAAACAAGAGAAAAGGAACACATCTTCTTAAGATCGGAAAAAGAAAATAACAAAAAGTCTTTAATTTATACAACTATAGATATAAATTTAATAGCCTCCCCAACGGCGGAGCCCCCTCCCGAATTTGAAAGAGGACTTAGAGGATGACATTTTGTGAAGTTTCTAGTTAATTGTTTAGTCGTAATGATATGGAGGAGATATAACCATCTTGCTAAAAAAATGTTGACAAACGAATTGGCACTCAATTTATTTTTATTTATTTATTTATTTATTTTTTTTTATTATTAGTATATTAGCATCTATGGTTTAGGATTCCAATATACAGATAAACCTTAACAGGCTTTTTCAAATACTACTACCCAGAGAGAAATTGAAAAGGCTTTTTTAGATTAATAAAATAAATAAATAAATAAATAAATAAAATAAAACATAGAAGATGAAAACATTTTAAACCTAAAAGTTTGACTCGGTTCTACATTTTTTTTTAACATAATATCACCTTGACCCAATCATTGACATAATCGTACACATACAATCTTCTATTCTGCCATACATAGAATTGAAATATTTATAGATAAAAAAACTATCTCAAAACACGGCATAACATTTGCTTGGAATAATGACCTGAAATATTTTATAGATAAAAAAACTATCTGAAACACGGTATAACACTTGCTTGAAATAATGACTAGTAAACGAGTGAACATCAATTTAACAACAACAAACGAGTCCACTCGAGAAATTAAACATACATGTTGAAATATATATCTTTTTATCAAACCTAACATTGTTGTATCATTTCCTATAGTTTGTCTTATTTTATAGATTTAATTTATATAAGGGCTTAATTTGTTATTATTAGATTCTTGTTGTGTATAGATTTGTGCAGGGAGGGTGCACTACAAGAAAAATACAATTTAATGACATGCGAACAATGACACACATTGATTTACTATACGCATTTTTTGTGTGTCATAAAAATAATGTCAACCTTCCAAATTTTGAAGGATAGAGGACACACATTTGAGCGTGCCCTAAAATTATTGTCCCACAAAAAAAAATTACAAACACAGAGGGCACTTATTTTAAATGTGCATCCTCTGTGAATGTCGTTTTATAATTTTTTACTCAAAATGCGTGTTCTTAAAGGAAATGAAATCCTCTAAAATTCTAATTTTGAAATACCTCGCTTCAAGATATCCCTTCATTCTCTTCTTCCCTTCTCTCTACAAACCCTAATCACGATACCATCTCTGCTTCAAGGCATGTACGTGACCTTATATTTGTCCACTGCCTTCAACATGTTGTCGAAATCAAATCTCTCCATCAGAACCAACGTCACGCCAACTAATGTCGGATGAGTAAAGTATCCCCGCCGTATCGGATTGCTATATCTCCGCTTCAAGATATCCCATCTCTGCTTCAAGATACAAACCCTATTCAATATATGTAACATATGCCGACTCTCACACACACACACACACACATACTTATCGCTATCTCTATCTCCCCTCTCTCTCTCTCTCACACACATATAAAATTAAAGGGACGATTCTAGGGCTTTTTTCAAGAACCATTGAAAACGTAAAGGAGTGCTCTCTACAATAGTTTGGCAACGTCGGCTCACCTCACCTCGTCAACGACTGTGACTCCTTGAAGATTTAGGGTTGTGCTCGGTGTTGTGCTCGGTGATTCTCAATGAAAGTGATTCAGGCCTCACTCCTCTCTCATAGCGATTTAGGGTTTTTTGGTACAAGGTATCGACTAATACACCGACGACTTAGGTTTTTCTCATAAAAGACGTGTATCTACACTTCGATTGCTCCAATAACGAATCCATAATGTCGGGTGTCGAAAATGTAAAACAGAGGTAATGTTTGTTTCTTTTTGAGTTCATATAAAGAGAAATTTTTGAGTTCATATAAAGAGAAGAATAGTTGATGTTCTTGCATCCATGCTCTATTTAGGTTACTCTCTCAGCTATGAAGTAGCACAATCTCTGTGAAATCAGAGGGTAATACTGTAATTATTGAATTATCTATTGTTCTTTTTCATAATCAGTTGTTTTTTGTTTTGTGTAGCTGTTGTTCGAGGACTACCATCATATGCTTCATGGATGCAATTATTCAAATTCAAAACGCCAGTTGGAAGCTTCTGATTAGAGCCTCACGGTTGGAATTCTACATAGTTTTTCAAAAATAAAAAAGTTACAAAAAGGATCATGGAAAATATATTTGATGAATCATGATGAAACCAGTATGAATTAATTGCTTACTTTCCCTTTAGAGAATAACAACACCAAGCTATAGGTGTGAGCAATTGCTTCATAATTTTCAGGTGTGTTTTCAGAGGAAATGGATTGTGTCCAGATTGAAGATAGAAGTAGGGATATTTGGTGATTACTGAGGCGAAGTGTAACCTCTTCCTGTTAAAAGAAATATAAAAATTAATATGAAAATGAAAATGAATGAAAGAAAGAAAGATAGGAAGGAAGGAAGGAAGTATACAATATCATTGTTGCAACTGCTACCGAAGCAGATGAATATCTCATGTTATACTTTCGGCTCTAAGTTGACTTGATCTTATTCATGACCCAAACATTATTGGATTTTGGATCTCCTTTATTGGAAGCAAGTCGCTTCTCCTTTTGCATTTTCTGAAAGAGGGCAGCTGAAGAAGAAAACACATAAACACTTCTAGAAAGTAACCTTGGAGCAATTTCAGCTCTTTTTGGATCATCCAAATCCATAGCTGGACTTGCATGAGGACAAACTGATGATGGAAACCAATTCCATAGTTGAATTGCTACGGAATTCATCATCGTGGTTACTATGCAACAGAGTTTGTGACGGAAACCAATTCCATAGTTGAATTGCTACGGAAGTACCATTCGTAGGTATTTGCTAGGGAATTCTGCTATGGAATATGATTTCGTTTGCTTGTTTTGCTATGGAACAAAACGCGTAGCTAATTTGTGACGGCATTTGTTGGGATGTTGTATGCTTAATTAATTTTGTTATACTATGGATGAATTATTATTATGATCATTGGAATTTGTAAGATATGGTTTGAATGAAATGTTTTTGAATTGGTAATATGTGGCATAAACTAATGGCTAAAAAATGTAAAAATGAATTATAAAGTAGATATTGCTGGCAAGCAGACTCGAATTTAAGCTTATGCTAGAAAAGGGCGCGGTTAAGCCAGTTGTGCTAATCAAGTTGTGTATAATTTCTTGAAAACATAGTATATAATGAATAATTAACAACGAATTCATTACAAAGTTATTTTTAATTACATTAACCGGGCATGTTAAAGTATATAATCTATACAGATTATTTTCCTTAATAACGACTTCATTACAAACTAATTTTTAATTACATTAAGTATACTTCATCACAAAAATAACATGGGTTTTACAAATACTTCATCCTACTCAAACAACATAGCAAACAAAAATGACTAAAATGCCCTTTTAACAGAATGATGTAAACACAAAAAAACATCTCGGGGCGAAGCCCGTGATTTCTTCCTAGTTTACATTTCTGTATTGATATTAAACCAAATTACAAATTAACTTCATCGCAAAAAACATTAAACACAGAAGCTCATAGTCTGAACAAATCAACACTTAATTAGAGTTAATTATAACCATAATTTTGATTATAACCATAAATTTAAAAAAATACAAAAATAATTTTGATTATAACCATAAAACTATGTGGGTGTTATTTTTGTATTTTTTTAAATTTATTATTTTTTGGATAGGTCAGATATAGACTTGTTGTTTATCGGGATCTTACGTGCCTATATGAATAATGGTAAAACACTTAATTAGAGTTAATTATAACCATAATTTTGATTATAACCATAAATTTAAAAAAATACAAAAATAACACCCACATAGTTTTGAAACCATAATGCAAAGTTTTTCTCAACTTCAGCTACAAGGACCTGTTCATCCATATCCCCCATAAGTTCATTCAAATGTTCTTCAAATATTCTATATCACCATTTCAATAACATTTTAAAGTAACTATGAATGTAATAAACAAAATCATGCATGTAAATGTTATTCGATCATATCAAGTACACAACAATTG